GGTCTCCACAGAGAAGGGCAGCCATAGGTGGAGCCAGGTCCGTGCAGGAGGCCAGGGTCCATGCAGCCCCTTGAGCCCATGGCACCTTGCATCCTGGGTGATGCATCTCTGCCCTGAGTGCCCAAGTGGGGCTCTGCCTGGCATCCCTGCCTTGTGGGCACTAGGGGCTCTGGCTGGGACTCCTGGCCAAGGCAGTGTCTGGGTGGTTCCCAGGGTTTCCTGTGCCTCAGAGCCTGGTATGAATGGGCAGAATGAGGTCACCGCCTGGAGGTTCTGGTGATTTCCTGGCAGCTTCTTGCCAAGTTCCCTAGGGAAGAGGCAGGGTGGGTGGGGTCTGCCCGTGGCCTCTGACCTGCTCACCGCAGCAGGAGGAAGAGGTTGGCTAGAGCGAGGCTGCGATAGCACAGAGGCTGCCTTGCGCTGGGCTTTGTTAGTTTGAGATCTGTGTGATGAATCCACTCCTCCCGAATTGCAGTAAGCGAGGGACTCTGTCCCGGCCTGGTCTGTGGATGAGACCAGGCGCTCAGAGGGGAAGCAGCTGCGTGTGGAAGTGGGAGAGGCTGTGGGCCCTCCATACTACACTGCCTCCCGTGTCAGAAGGGAGGGCCCTGAGGTCATGGCCTTGCAGAGCAGCCAGTATGGGTCTTGCAGCCCCGCCCTGCCTCACTCCTGAGGGTGTGACCTTGTGCAGGTCATGTCCCCACCCCAGGGCAGCAGGGCACGTCATCCTGCTCGAGATGGGCCCATGGAGGAGCTGACCCTCCCTGCCTGGTGTCCCCCTGTGTTTTCAGGACAGTGGCCACCCAGAGACGCTGATCAACCTCATTGTCCTGTCGCAGCACCTTGGCAAGCCCCCCGAGGTAGGGCCCCCAGCCTGGTGCAGGAGGGCTTTCTGGCCCTCACAGTACCAGCCTGGGGTGGGCAGGGGTCTCCGGTGTGGTGCTGGCTCCAGGGGAAACCTGGGGCCTCAGAGTCAGGACTTCAGGGTTGGCCTGGGGTTGGGGCAACTCTTCCCATGAGTGGGTCCAGGGCTGCTCCCGTGGGTCCTGAGGATGAGTAGGCTGAGGCTGGGAGGGCGCTTGGGCTGAGACCCGGCCTGTGCCACCTTATGGTGGAGGGGGTTGACAACAGGACAGAGAATAGGGGCCCAAGGGAGCAGTTCTGGTGAGCCCACCTCATCTGAGGGTGGAGTGGGAGGATGTTGCGATGCTGCTCTGTTTAGGTGACTGGCCCAGCTGGCCCAGGGCCCTCCCCAGGGCTTCATGACAGTCACCTGTCCTTTACCGAAGGACCCTCCCTCCCCCCAGCAGCCTTAGGGCTGGGGTGGTGCAGGACAGATAGGACCACCCTCCCACTCGCCCCAGAAACAGCACTGGACCACCAGTTTCTGTGTCAGGCGCTGTTCCAAGTGGCGCTTTCCCGCATCCTGCTAGTTCTCTCTCATCAGCCTGATTCCAGGGTGGGTGATGGAGGGAATGTGGGGAGACCAGGCCGCTGCCTGGGGTCAGCTGGGTGGCCCTTGTCCCACCCCTGCCCTTCAGGTCAAAGCCACTGTGGGGTCCCTGTATTCAACTAACCTGGTCTCATCTCCCCCACAGGTGACAAACCGCTACCTGTCCCAGCTGAAGGACTCCCACAGGTCCCACCCCTTCATCAAGGAGTACCAGGCCAAGGTGAGTTCGTGTAGGTGCCCATCTCCGAGCCCCAGACCCCCAGGCCTAGCCCAGGAAGGTCCGGAACTCGGGCCTGGCTCACGTGTTCTCTCCCCTATTCATGTTGAAGGAAAACGACTTTGACCGGCTGGTGCTGCAGTACGCCCCCAGCGCCTGAGGCCCAGATGCACTTCCCAAGCCTGGGGCGGTGAGGCCGGGCCACTCTGCCCTCCCTGTTAGGCACCTGCCCTCGACTGCCTGTCCTCTCCTCCTCCTCTCCTCTGCTCTGGCCAGAGGCAGAGGCTGCCCAGCCCCACCCCGTGCTGTCAATAAATGTCTCCACTAGGGTACCCCCACCCCATTTGTGTTTACTCCAGCCACTTTGACGTGGGTGTGTGGGAACCGGGGCTCAGACGGGAGGCACCTGGGCACCATGGCCCAGGCTGTTCCTGGGAGGGGGGCCCTGGAGACCAGGGTCTGTGAGCAGCAGCTGTATGGACTCCCCTGCCTCTCAAACAGCCGCCCCGTGCTGCCGAGCTGCAGGTGACACAGCTGTGTCCCCCGAGGACACTTGGCATCCAGGAAAACTGAGGTGCAGAGAGGTCACAGCCATCATGAGGGGCACCAGGATTCACACCCAGGACCCCGGGTAGTCTAGGTGGTGAGGGGCTGGAAGCACTGAGGCCTCAGCTCAGCGAAACGGGGAGGGGAGTGTGCTGGGTCCTTGTGGCAGTAAACATCAACCCCCGCCCCACCCCGCTCCTCGCTGCTGCCCTGTGCTAAGTCATTGGCCAGGACAGACTTTCCCTGCTCCGGGCCGTGGCCGAAGCACCGAGCTCCCTGCCCAGAGAGAGAAACGCGTAGTGAGCAATGTGTGATAAGAGAAGGCTGGGCAACAGGAAGGTGGGCAGTCAGGGGAGGGGTTGGCTGGGGTCTCTGGGATGAGGTCACCATTGAGGTGTGTCCACCTGAAGAAGAAAGAGCTGCCAGGCCAAGTTCTGGGGAGATGAGTATCCTGAGCAGCAGGAACAGCCCGTCAAAGGCCCTGAGACCACACTGGGCTTGGTGAGCTGAACGGGGCTTCGTGCCCTTTGTCCTCGGGCCAGTGACTGGGTCTTTCCTAGGGAGAGGCTTAGACACCTGGGTTCCAGCATCTGGCTTTACCTGCTTCAGAGGTGGCTGCCTGAAACCCAGTCTTTCCTTGCTAAGACAAGACACAGAGCAAGGGACCCCAGCATCAGGGACCGCCCCCAGTCTTCAGCCCCTCCTTGCCAGGTTGGGAGCCCAGCCAGGGAAAGGTGGCAGAGAAGGCCTCCCCGGGCTGGGCCATTGGTCAGGTCAGGAGCAGTAGGGCAGTGGGCTTCCGGGGGAGGGGAGGCCAGCCCCCCAGGGGGGCAGGGAAAGGGCGCTAGTCTTGGGACCTCAGCAGCCCTTCACGGGGCCCCTGGTGCCTGGAAGCCCTGGTTCCCAGCTGCCAGCACTAGGAGCCACTTTCCATTCCTACCCTGCACCCACTCATTGGTGGCCTCCTGTTTGTGCCCTGCCAAAATGAAACTTGAGGCTGGGCTAGAGCTGGTGGGCGGGGGTGCCTCTCTAGTTACTGATGGGTGTCAGGGTGATCAGATAGTGCCTGGGTGGGAGGGCCCAGATGGTGGTTGAGAAGGTCCAGGGCTGCCCCACAGTCCTGGCCCGACCTATCCAGGCACGTCCAGCCAGCCTGGGACCCCTGAGACTCCCCCTCCCTGCCAGGCCGACCAATGTATTAGTCATCCGATGGGATGGATGACCTGCTGCCCACAGAGAGCACATGCAAGAATGAGTAGGAGGGATAGCAGAACAGATGGTGACAAATGCCAAGGAGAAGAAGAATGGGGAGGTCAAGGAGGCACTCTGAGCAAGTGACATTAGTAGGTAAAGTCTGAAGTTGGTGATGGAGGAACCCTACCAGTACTTGGGGGAACAGCATTCCAGGCATAGGGAATGGCCAGTGCAAAGGCCCTGAGGCAGGACCATGCCTGGAGTGTTGGAGGAACAGTGAGGTGGCCAGTGTGGGCTGAAACAGAGGGACCAAGATGGAGAGAGGAGGGTGTGAGGGCAGGTGGTGAGTCCCAGTGAGGAGCTGGGCTTCGTGAGTGCTGGGAGCCCTGGAAGGCTGTGAGCCAAGGAGGGACTGGCAGGCTCCCTCCGGCCTCTGTGGGATGAGGAGGAAGCCAGGACACCATGCAGGAGGCATGAGGCTGGCCCAGGGCCACATGAGGCCGTGCGGGTACAGAGACATGGCTGGATTCAGGACCATTTGAAGGTGGGGCCAACTGGATGTGCCACAGGACTGGACGAGGAGTGAAGAGGAGGAGAGATGGGGCCCTCTTTGGCCCCACTTCTTGTTTTCACCTCTGCCCCTGAAGGTCAGGTCAGGCTGGCGGCCCTATGGGACCCAGCTCAGCTCCTGCAGGGCCCGCGCTGATTCCTGCACTCTGCGCCTCAAAGGCTACACAGGATGATGTCCTAGGTAGGGGGAAAAGGGGCACTGGGGTGGAGGAGTCCTGGGGGCTGGGATGAGGGCTATCCGTGCCAGGCAAGGTAATGTCCCCAACAAGTGTGCCTTCAGTGATGGCCGTTAGGGGCTTCAGGCACAGAGCCTGGTCAGTGGAGGGTGGAAAATCACCAGGGGTGGTACCAATGAAGCTGTGACCTTGATCCAGCCTCTGAGTCTCCCCCACGTGGGTACCCACTCCCTTGGCCTCCCTGAAGGCCTGTGTTAACCTGCTACAGAGCAGGCCTGCCAGGGCCTCAGGGTCATGGAGAGCAGCAGGTGGCTTGGACCAGGGAGTAGTGAGGTCCCAGGGTGGGACAGGAAGGGAGAGGCATCCTGGAGGGCCAGGGAAGGAAGGAGTCGCCAGTCGAGGGCACTGCCTGCTGGTGCCCACCGTGCCCCACGTCGGGGACACAGCGTGATGGGGTGGGGGAGCCTGGGGTGAGCACGGGCCCTCTGGGGCGGGGAGAGGGGATGAGGACACCGGGTTGCTTCAGGCCTGTTCGCGTCCAGGCCCAGCAGGCGCTGGGCGAACTCTGTGCCCCGCTGCTCCGCGCCTCCGTTTCTTCCGCTGGAGAATGGGCCAGAGCGCAGGCCCACCGCCAGGACGCGGCGAGGCAACGCCAGGACTTATCCGCCCGTGATCCCCGCCGCTGCCTGCGGGAGACCTTGCACCCTCGTGGCCCCCGGTCGCGGACACCGCGCCCAGGCCCCGCGTCCCCGCCAGGGCGGAGCTTGCACCGGCCCCGCCCCTCCGTCCCCCGCGCTCCGGCCGGCGCGCCCCCGGCCCAGCTGCGGCGCGTGACGCGGGGCGCGCGGCTCCGGCGGCCACCGCGGGCGGGCGCAGGCGGTGGGGACGGCCGGCGAGCGGGCGGCATGGCGGCAGCGGGGACCGCGTCGGGGCCGGAGCCCATGCCGAGCTATGCCCAGCTTGTGCAGCGCGGCTGGGGCAGCGCGCTGGCGGCGGCGCGGGGCTGCGCGGACTGCGGCTGGGGACTGGCGCGCCGCGGCCTGGCTGAGCACGCGCACCTGGCGCCGCCTGAGCTGCTGCTGCTGGCGCTCTGCGCGCTCGGCTGGACGGCGCTGCGCGCGGCGGCCACTGCGCGCCTCTTTCGGGTCAGTGCTGCTGGGGTCCGGGACGTGGGGGCCCTGGGCTGGCGGGCTGGGATGTTAGGGGGCTCCAGGACGGGGCCCCCGGGCCGCTCTGTCTCTGAGGGCTGGGGTCACTGGAAGGTGGGGGGCCTCGCGCTGGAGGAGCTCGGACGCGGAATCCTGGGCCGGCGCGCGCTGCGTTCGGTCAGTGCGGGGTGGGGGTGGATGCGGGGGTGTGGCCGGACTGGTGGAAACTCAGGAAGTGGGGACCCCGACACGGGTAGAGTGTTCGAGATGTGAGGGAACTGGGGCTGACCCATTCCTGTCAATGCGGGACAAGGGAGCCCTGGGCAGTTGGAGGGCCCGGACCGCCCCGCACCCTTTCCTGAGGGCCGAGCCGGGGACGGAGGAGCCGGGGACGCAGGCGGAGAGGGTTCGGCGCACAGGGGCCCCCTGCGCCTTGCGCCTCTGGGCCATGCCGGACGCGCTCAGAACTGGTGAGGGACCCGGGTCCATGCGGCGGCGGGGCCGGCTGTCCGCTGCTATCCGGAAGAGGCGGGAGCTGCCGGGTCGCTGCCTCGAGGCTGTCTGGAGTCAGCGCCACCCTCCGACCAAGGGAGGCAAAGGCCTGGGCTCCCTGGCCACGCCAGTGGTCGCAGCCCTAGAGAAGTGGCACGACCTGGGTCTTCGGAGCTGGACTGTGCTGCCTCCAAGGGGCTGCGACCGAATTGCCCGGTTTCCAGCGAGCCTGGGGAGGTCACCGCCCCAGCTGGAGAGTGACGATGGCATTGGCGCCCGGCCTCCCTCCCATCCTTGGGGAGGGGTCTGCTGTGGGAGCTGCTATGGGAGCTGCTGGGAGAGCGTTTGGGCTCCTAGCTTGGCTGCGACTCCCCCGTGGACAGACGGACTGGTGTCACGCCGCCCCAGTCTGGCTGGAGGTGGCAGGGGGTGCAGGGACAGAGCGCCCAGCACCAACAAAGGGGCCTTTCTCTGTTGGCCGGGAAGAGACTGGCCCTTGTTCAGTCGGGGATGTGATGTTGCCTGGCTGCCATTGTCCCCACCCCCATCCCCATGTCACCCACATGGGGGAGAGATCCTGGCTACCATCCTGCTCCAGGGAAGGGGGGACAGGCATGACAAGGGTCCCTCCGTAGGTCAGCCCTGGTCCCAATCCAGCTTTATTGCTCCCCCACCTCCCATTTTCCAGGAGGGTGAGGGCTAGAGCTCAGGAGGGGAATGTCACTGCGATTACCAGGGTAGAGTGGGCTCCCTCCTCATGTTCCTGAGGGAGCTGCGTAGGGGACAGCAAATTCATGTGCCCCCTCACTTTTGGAATCCCCAGAGGTCGGGTTTTTGCCCCATCCCTCCTTCCGAACCCCGGGTGGGGCTCTTGCCCCAATTCAAGGCTCACCCTTCGGAAGAAATGGGCGGAGGGGCTGCCTGGGCCTCCAAAGCTCATCTTCTTGGCAGCTGCTTGGTTGCTAGGGGTTACTGGAGCTGGCTCTGGCTGTCTCCATGGCAACTTCTGGTGCTCTGGCCTCCTCAGCCTCTTCTGCGGAGGGAAGGGGCAAGGCTTAGCTGGCAGCGCTGGAGCCCCACCCCCAGGACCCTAGGGACTTGGGCCCCTCAGATCCCTCTGCTCCTCACCATTGCAGGCCCGCACTTCCTTCGTGTCCTCCCTGATGTCCCTAGAAGCCCCCCGTCTCACTGTGGCATCTGTTCCCTGTCCCCACTTCTTCCTCTACTCCCATTCTCTCCTCCTTTGTCCCCCCACATGTCCTCTTCTGCGTACCCACACCATCCTCCCCAGCCCCCTGGTCCTCCTTGGTCTCCCCAAATTCCTCTTCCGAGGTGCCTCCTTCCTCTCAAGTTTCTCCCCCATGGGGATCACTTGGGGTTCCAGCTCCCCATTTGCCCCAGATTCCCCTCCATGTTCTCTTTCCCACTTCATCCTGCAGCCCCCTCCACGTCTTCTCTTTGATCCCCCCTCCTTGCTGTCACACCCTCAGCTCCTCCTGTGACCCCCAAGCCTCCCAACTCTCCTGGGCTGACCCCTTTGGTCTCCTTTGATTTTTGCCCCCGTGCCCCCTCCTCGCCCTCACAGCCTGACTTCATGTTCCCCTCAGGTCCCCCATCACTCCCCTCCCCACACCACCACTGGACAGCTGGGCACTAAGTTTAGCCTTGGCAGGCTCACGTGGGCTCTGGTTACGCTCGAGATGGCTGTGGGTACCAGGGCCTGGCTCTCCCCAATGCTGCCCGGCCTGGGGAGTCCCTGGGCCTTGGTTTCCCCACCCTGGTGGAGTGACCCTTGGCCCCCAGCGCTGATGGCCACCCACCTTCTCACCTGTAGCCCCTGGCCAAGTGGTGCCGCCTCCAGCCTAGAGATGCCGCCAAGATGCCTGAAAGCGCCTGGAAGTTTCTCTTCTACCTGGGCGCCTGGAGCTACAGTGCCTACCTGCTTTTCGGCACCGACTACCCTTTTTTTCACGACCCACCCTCCGTCTTCTACGGTAGGGGCCTTGCCAGGATGGAGTGGGGGAGGTTCTGTTCTAAACACAGAGAAGGGCACATAGAGGAGCCAGATACACATCGCTCATCCTGTGCTGGGTGTCTGCCCCAAGACAAGGGCAGTCGAGGGGCCCTGGAGGCAGGGAAGGTGGCACCTGGCCCTATTAGGGTTCAGGGAGGCGTCCTGGAAGAGGTGACCCTTTGTATGGGCCCAGGCGGGTGTTCCAGATGTCAGGAACAGCATGTGCAGCAGCCCCGGGGCAGGCAAAAGCTTGATGCATGAGGATGAAAGGAGCATGGCAGGAGTTTGAGTTTCCCTCTAAATGAGATGGGTCTGTGGGTTATAAAAAGCTTCCTCTGGCTGCCATTTGGAGACATCTATAGATGAGTCTTGGGTGAGGAGGGTAGCAGGGCCTAGGGGGGAGGCGAGGCACCAGTGTGACTTGGACGCGCTTGGTGAGGAGCTAAAGATGATGAAAAGTGGCTGCATCCCTTGATAATTAGAAGTGGGGGTCATCCAGGCCTGAGCTCTGGGGGGCCAAGCAGGAAGGTGACTACATTTCCTCTCTCACCACTGGGCAGACTGGTATAGAAAACCTGGTCTGCGCTGGGAGGCAGGCTTCCCTCTTCCTCTTCCTGTGCCGGCTGCCCAGCCGTGTGTTGCGCATGCATGTGGGTGTGTTTCCTGCTGTGTGAGTGAAAAGCCTGGGAGGCCTCTGGTGGCACCTAGCCCTGTGCTCCTGTTGGAGAGCCAGGCACAGAGGCCCTGTGTTGTGGGGTCCTGATGACAACACTGGGTTTACTAGGCACCTGTCTGTCTTCCTGGGACCATGCCACCCACATGGCCACGTTTCTCACGGAGCACATGGGCATTTCCCACATGGTGAGTCCCAAGAGGGGAGGGTCTGTCCTTCAGTTACCCTTTGTGTGAATGAACCATAATCGGACTCTCTCATCGAGGTTTTGGGCATGGAGTTGCCTCTGGCTTCTTCTAAACTATGCTACAATAACATGCTTGCAAGTTAGCTGCCGCTTTGCATGCACATTTATTGAGCACCTACTGCATACCAGGCACTGTGCTGACAGAAGCAGTGAACAAGTCAGAGCAAGCCCCCCCCCCCCCACGTCTCAGGGCAGCAGGCAGTGAAATATGAAATCTGTTCACAGCGATAAGCGCTGATGTAAAAACTTGGGTGGGGAGAGGAGAGGGGAAATGGGGTGTCTGGGAGGTGGGGAGGGGGCATTGTCTATGGGGTGCAGTGTAACTTTTGAGTGGGAATCTGGAAGAGCCTGGAGCAGATAGGAGGTACAAAGGCTGCTGTTGGACATTGCTCTCCCTGGGGAACCAGGAGCAGCAATGAGGCTACCGGGCCAAGGCAGGGGGTGAGGAGGGCTGGGGGGCAGCAAGGGGCTGTGAGCAAAGGAGGGACATGGACAGGACCCTGGCCAACACAGGTGATCTGAGAAGGGGGCCAAATGGGGGAGAGAAGTGTCTGATTTGAGAAAAGTTTTGAAGGCAGAGCTGATAGGATTCATGACAAACCCGAAGTAGGTGTGAGAGAGAGGGAGGGGATGATGCCAGGGTGTGAGGGGCCTGGGGCCAACCTTGGGGGAGACCAGACACTGGCTGTTGAACGTCCAGGGGGCTGATGCAGGAGGTTGAGGAGAGGGTGCAGTGGGGTGACATGGGCATCCAGAGCAGCAGGTCGGATGTGTGTGGAGAGGAGGTTGGAGGCCCCCAGCATGTGGGGGGTGCAGGCATAGGCTGCATGGTGAATTATATGACCCCCTCTCCCCCTACCTTAGATCTGGGGCCTGAGGCTGGAGGGGGGCGGTTGCCCACTGTCACAGTCTTGCCAGTGCCATGGGTAGAAAAGCCAGTGTCCTGTTTCCACAGCTGACTCTGTGCCTCAAGGCGCCTCTGGGTGCCTTCCTTCTGGGTGCCTTGGACTGAAGAGGGACAGAGGCACCTGGCAGGTGGGTGGGTGGAGGCCCCCCTCCCGGCTCCAGTGTTTCCACATGGCTGAGGATGCAACTTGGGGTGAGCGCCCAGCCAGGAGTGTGGGTTTTGCTGTCGAGCTTTGGGGAGCCCCTGAACATGTTAAAGTAGGGGGGTGTGAGATCTGATCTCTGAGCAGTTTTCCGTTTTTTTGCTAGGTGAAATTTACATAATATATAATTAACCATCTTAGTCAGTCACAGAAAGACATCGCATGTGAGGCCCCTGGTGGCGTCACAGTCACAGAGGCAGAGCGTCGGATGGAGGGCGCCAGGGGCGGGGGGTTAGTGTTCAATGGGACAGAGGGTGCGCTACTCCAGGTGAAAAGGATTCTGGAGATGGGTGATGGTGATGGTTGCACGACAATGTGAATGTACTTAATGCCACTGAACTTAAAAATGGTTAAGATGGTAAAGTTTGTGTTATATATATTTTTACCACAGCTTAAGAAAATGAACCACTTGAACAATTCAGTGGCATTTAGCACATTCACACTGTTGTGCAACATCACCTTCATCTAGTTCCAGAACGTTGTCATTGCCCCGAAAACAAATCCTGTCCCCATTAGCAGTCACTCCCTACCCCCCGCCCCCCCCCCAGCCCCTGACAACCACTAACACACTATCTGTCTCTGTGGCTCTGCCTGTTCTGGATGTTTCGTATAAATATCGTGATATACCATGTGGCCTTTTGTGTCTGGCTTCCCTCACTCAGCGTGAAGTTTTCGCTGTTCATCCACGTTGTAGCGCGTGTCAGGGCTTCAGTGCTTTTTGTGGCTGAGTAATATTCCACTGTGTGGATGGACCACATTTTGTTCGTCCATTGATGGGCATCTGGACTGTTCCCCTCTTGGCAGTTGTGACTAGTGCTGCTGTGAACGCACGTGTGCAAGTACCTCTGTGAGTCCCTGTTTTCACTTCTCTTGGGCACATACCTAGGCATGGAATTGCTGGGTCATGGGGTCTGTGTATTCACAGCCATCAAGGCCACCGTGGGGAGAGGGGACAGGCGGGAACAGACTCTGAGGCCGGAGTTGCTGGGACAGTGCTGAGTGAGAGACGATGGGGCCTGGCCCGGGGTGGGGGGCCATGAGCAGAGGTGTGGGCCCAAGGTAGGCCCTCGGACGGGGGTCTGGGTGAATCCCGGCCGCAGGAGGAGCCTGGCACAGATGAAGAGTGTCGCTGAGGTGGGGGCACAGGAGGTGTCTCGGGCTCCAGGTCACTGAGGCAGGGGGTGGGGACAGGAGGCCCTGGATGGAGCCCAGGGAGGCTGTTTTGAGGGGTGGGCAGAGAGGGAGTGGCTAGAGAACGGGGCACAATCCAGGGAGTTCCAGATCAATGCAGGCAGAGCCCTTGGCCCTTGGTGATCGGCTGAGGAGAGGAGGTGGGGGTGGCGGGGAGAGCTCGGGGGTCACTGTCGCTGGGAAGGATGGGCACAGGTGTCAGGAGGAACGGGGAGGCTGGAGGAGGAGGGGCAGGGAGCCAGGGCCCACTTGGTGGGTGAGAGAGCCGCACTCAGGTCTCATTCCTGCCTCGGCTTCTCCGGTGTGATGGTGAGGCCAGCGGTAGTCTCCGTCAGGCTGGGGGTTTGCTGGGAGGTGCAGGACAGGGTAACAAAAGACGGAAGGGGAGCTGGTACAGAGTTGGAAATCCTGCAAGGGAGTGATTTCAGGGGAAAGATGCCTTTTTCTGTAAATCTAGAACTATGTCTAAAAAGTAACACCTGTTCATTAAAGATACTGGGTAGAGAAGGGAATGGAAAACCAGCAGGCAGTACACCTGCAGAGACACAGGGCGTGCCCTGGCCTGCAGAGGAGCATGCCTGGCTTGAGGGGGTGTGTGGGGTCGCTCGGGGTCCCAGAGGCCCTGCGGGTCCCTGACAGCGCCGTCGGGCTTTCCCCAGATTGGGTGCCAGGCATGGCGGTGCCGCGGGACATCGCAGCCGCCTACCTGCTGCAGGGCAGCTTCTATGGCCATTCCATCTACGCCACGCTGTACATGGATGCCTGGCGCAAGGACTCAGTGGTCATGCTTGTCCACCATGTGGTCACCTTGGTCCTCATCGTCTCCTCATATGCCTTCCGGTAAGTCCCGGAGGGTGGAGGGCACTGTGTGGGCACTGGTGGGAGGCTGGCACGGGGCAGAGGCTAATGCCTGGGCGGCCATGGGGGAGGGTTCCAGAGGGAGACTCCGAAGGGACGAGGTGAAACAGGTAGAGAGTCACCACTTCGCCCCCGCCCCACCCACCCCCTGCACACTACCTGGATGGCACCCTCAGTCGGGTCACATGGCAGGTACTGCTAGGGGTACAGCCATGAACACAACAGACAAACCCTGTTGTTCTAGAGGACACTGTGGTCACCACAAGTGGCTACTGAGTGCTTCAGACGGAGCCTGTCCAAACCACGACCTGCCGCGTGTGTGAAATCCACCCCAGTTCCAGAGGCAGAGGAGAGTGGCAATGTCTCACCAGTCCCTTTGTTACATGGATTACTTGTAGAAATGACAGTATTTTGGATGTACTGACTATTAAACTACATTATTAAAACTAATTTTACCTCTTCCCTACTTTTTTTTTAATGTGGCTGATAGACGATCTGAAATGACGCGAACAGAGGCTGGCCCGGTGGCACAGCGGTTAAATTCACAGTTCTGCTTCAGCAGCCCGGGGTTCACGGGTTCAGATCCTGGGTCTGGACATGGCACCACTTGGCACGCCATGTTGTGGCAGCCTCCCACATATAAAGTAGAGGAAGATGGGCACGGATGTTAGCTCAAGGCCAGTCTTCCTCAGCAAAAAGAGGAGAATTGGCAGCAATTAGCTCAGGGCTAATCTTCCTCAAAAAAAATAAGTAAAATAAAATGACATGAACAGCTCATGTTCTATTCCTGTTGAAGTAGCCGCTCTGCTGCCCGCTCCAGTACAGTAGCTGCTGGCCACAGGTCTCTATTTCAACTTTAATGAAACTTAAATAAAATCACACATTCTGTTCCTCAGCCACACTAGCCACATTTCAGCTTCCCAGTGGCCACACGTGGCTAGGGGCTCCCATATTGGATAGCACAGGTTTAGAACATTCCCATCATTCTAGAAAATCCTGTTAGCACTGCTGTAGAGAGTAGAATCAGATGATAAAACCAGGAAAAAAAAAAGCAAAGAACTAGAAATGTGTTTGAAGGTGATAACTGTGGAGAAGAATCACTTGGCAAGATGAGGACTGGCAAGGCGGTGAGGCTTAGGCGGGGTGGTCTGGGCGACGGGAGCACAGACTGAAAGGAGGTGAGGGAGGGCTCTGTGAACACTGGGGAGGGTCGTGGTGGGGTGATGGGAACACCATGTGCAAAGGGCCTGAGGCAGGAGCACGAGCTTTTAGGAGGACAGAGTGGGGATGGAGACATGGTGACAGGTGCGCAGCCATGTCCAGGCTGAGTTCAGACCCCTTGGTCCGAGCAGCTGTAAGGTGGAGCCTGGGGAGGGCTGGGGGCAGCCTTCAGGCTCTTTAAACCCTAGTGGGGACTCAGTGGTTCCCAGACAAGTCTGCAGCTTACAGCCACATTCAGGGTAAACGTATAAACCTGGGAGTGTCAGCGTGGCAGTGATGTTCAAAGTGAGGGATGAACTTGTTGGGGTGTGGACATAGAATGGCCCAGGACTATGAGGGCTGGGGGTCATGGAGGGTCAGAGGTCATGGAGATGAAGAGGGACCAGACAAGGCACTTTCAGGGAGGCTCCTGGTTCACCTGGGGGCAGTGAGACAGGGAGTGTGAGGGTGCTGGTGGGGCCTGGGTGCTGTCCCTGACCTGGCCCGGTGGGGGGGATGGGCAGGACAAGTAGGCCAGGGAGGATGGCTCTGAAGGAACCCATGGGAAGCCTGGAGGTACGGCCCAGGGGCTTGTGTCCGGGAGCCTCAGTGCAGGGGGTGGTCCTCAGTGTAATCGGCCTTCCTCTCCTCTCCTACTGCCCTGCCCAGGTACCATAACGTGGGCATCCTCGTGCTTTTCCTACATGACATCAGTGACGTGCAGCTGGAGTTCACCAAGCTCAATGTCTACTTCAAGTCTCGCGGGGGCTCCTACCATCGGCTGCATGCCCTGGCGGCGGACCTGGGCTGCCTCAGCTTCAGCCTCAGCTGGTGAGAGGGCAGGAAGGAGGCAGGGCCTGTGGGAGGGGCGGGGCCTGTGGGAGGGGCGGGGCCAGGCAGGACGGAGGTGGGTCCTGGTGGGTGGGCGGGGCCCAGCAGGGCAGGTGAGGCCCAAGTGGGGAAGAAGGGGAGTTGAGTAGGACAGAGCAGAAATGGAGACAGATGAGCAGGGGTGGACGAGTATGGTGCAGGGGCTCAGGGATAGGTGGGGATGTGCAGGGACAGGTGGATGAGTCCACATGGGTCAGAAAACTGGGACCTGGTAGGGCCGCCCTCCCCCTCTCCCCCTCAGCCTCCCCCAACCCCCCCTCCCCCTGCAGGTTCTGGTTCCGCCTCTACTGGTTCCCGCTCAAGGTCTTGTACGCCACTTGCCACTGCAGCCTGCGCTCGGTGCCTGACATCCCCTTCTACTTCTTCTTCAACGCGCTCCTGCTGCTGCTCACCGCCATGAACCTCTACTGGTTCCTGGTGAGTCAGCCGTCTGCGCTGCTCCTCAGCCAGCACACCCGTCCTGGCTCCCATCCCGGGCCGTCAGGAGGGTGGTCTCAGGCACAGCCAGGGAGGGGCATGCTGGCAGCAAGGAACAGCAAGCAGGTGCAGAGGGCCTCTGGCCGGAGCACGGGGCCGTCAGGAGGGTGGTGCGGTCGGGAAGGGCTCTTTTCTCACCCGTGCCTTCCCCTCCCACAGTACATCGTGGCTTTTGCTGCCAAAGTGCTGACGGGCCAGGTGCGTGAGCTGAAGGACGTGCGGGAATACGACGCGGCAGAGGCCCCAAGCCCCAAGCCCAGCAAAGCTGAGTGAGTGTGGAGGGGCCACTGCCCTGGGTTTGTTCCTTTAAGCCACGTCTGCCCCTCTGAGCACACCTTCTGTGGGCGGGCCCCGGGGACATGGCAGCAGACGCGGCCCACTGGAGCCTAACGTCCAAAACAGAGACTGTAATGAAGACGTGGATGATGTGGCGACAGAGTTAGATGCTGTAAGGCCAGCCAGGCATGGGGTAGACAGGGCTGGGGTGAGGCCGAGAGGCAGGGTCGTGGTGGTGGGAGCACTGAGGGCCAAGCTGAGTGGCTGGTGTGGCCGGAGCAGGTGAGCGGAGGGCTCAGTGGGTGGTGAGGAACAGCCATTGGCCAGACCAGATGGTAACCTGAGTGAGTGGCAGAGGAAAGGGGGATGAGGAATGCCACAGGTGGTCCAGAGAGCCCACGCTCTGCCCGTGCTGATGCCCCCTGGCGTCGAGGTCCAGCAGGGCAGCTCACTGGTCAGCCAAGAAGGAGATGGGGCTAGGGGCTCAAATGCAGTCCAGCTCAGGTGGGAGTCCTCGGAAAGGAGGGGGAAAGGGGCTTTGTCGAGCGTCTTGGAGGTAGGGCACTCGGGACTCACCAGCCCTGGGATGTGAGCGAGATGGCATCCACAGCCCCGGCCTGGAGGGGCCCCAGGGGTGAATGGAGGCAGGTTTGGGCGACGAGCAGGGTGTAGGGTGTAGAGTGTGTGCACCCCAGAAGCATCCTGAGTGGTGTCTGAGCAGGAGCCAGGTGGGAGGCTGCTGCAGGCCCTCAGGGTGCTGACCGAGTGGACCCTTGGATTTGGCCTCTGGGGCGTCACCAGTGACCACCCTGGGAAAGGTGGCTTTGGGAAGCATTAGGCTCAGAGCCCAATGAGGTGAGTTGGAATGGGTGGCAAGGAGGATGAGCGAAGCAGAGATTTAAAAGTGTCTTTGAGAGACATGAGAAGGGGAGTGGAGAACTAGGGTGTGGCTAGAGTGGAGGGTGGGACCCAGAGGGCTCTGGAGGCGGGGTCAAAGAAACAGAAGCACTTTGCACCTGCCAAGTGGGACTGCAGGCAGGGTGTGCTGAGGCCAAAAAGCCAGTGCCCAGAGTGGAGAGGGGTCCAGCAGGTGAGCGGGGACACATGAGAGGGCTGGGCAGCAGGTGAGGTCACCCTGGCGGTCAGATCCCAACTCTGTTGTAGAACCAACCAGACTTGCTTTGGATGTAGGTGAAACAAATAAATGAATCAAAGACAACCCAGACTTCTGGCTCCAGCAGGGCTGTGTGCGCTGGCGGCACAGTTTGGGAGTCTAGTTTGGGGGCTGTTGGATCATCACTGTCCAGGGAATGTGAGTCGGGAATTCTGCAGAGACATTGGTGAGGTCTCACCAAAGAGTCTGACCAGACCAATCCTCAGAGGCTTCCAGAAGGAGCGGTGGCTAAAGAGAACTCCAGAGGCAGGGGAGGGGAGGCACTTGCTTGGCCAAATCTAAAAATCTGAAGGATCTTCCTGCTGTAAAATGATGAACTCCTGATGAAGATGTACTTGTAACTGCAGATCTCATGGCAAAGGGCAGGCCAGGGCTCCCGGCCCACCCGGTGCTGCTCCCTGTTCTGTCTCCTGAAAATGGGCCAGAATGTGGGTTTGGGGGCTGGCACCCTGCCAGCTCTTCCACTAGGATGGCAAAACGTGAACTCCGCATGCAAATGACAGGGCGTACCAGGGGACATGCTGCCATGGTCAACTCTGTGGGCACCACCAGCAGAACTTGAGTTCCCAAGGATGGCTAGAGTTCGCACGCTTGGGTGTGAAGTGGGATGGGCTAAAAAGCAATGTGTGCACGTCCTACAACAGAGCTGGTCAGGGCGCCTTGAAGCCACCAGGCCATGGAAATGAGGCAAGAGTGAGGAGCTGTCCCAGATCAGAGCAGATGAGGAGACGTGATGACCGAATGCAGTGTGAGATCCTGCACCAGCAAAAGGACACCACGGAAGACCTGGTGAAATCCAGCTGGGGTCTACAGTTGAGTTGATGGCAGTGTCCCAGCGTTAGTTCCATAGCTGTGACAGACGTACAGATGTGGAAATGTAAGATTTTAACATTCAGGGAAGCTCTGTACTATCTTTGCAATGCTTCTGCAAGTCTAAAATTATTCTAAAATAAAAAGCTCATTAAAAAAGTAAAAGGCATGAGAGGCCATCAAAAATGGCACTGGATGTTACGTTAGTTTCTGGGGCCCCTGTGACAAAGGACCACAAACTGGGGGGCTTCAAACAATAGAAATGTAGTTTCTCACAGTCTGGAGGCCAGAAATCTGAAATCCAGTCGTCGCAGGGCCGCTCCCTCCAGAGGCTCAGGGGAGGCCCTTCCTCGTTCTTCCAGCTTCTGGGGGCTCCAGGCGTCCTCGCTTGCGGCCGTATCACCACAATCTCCATCTTTCATCTTCACGTGGCTTTCTCTTCTCTCTGGCTTTTCTCTCTCTGAAGGACATTTGTCATTGGATTTAGGGCCCACCCTAAATCCAGTATGATCTCACCCCGAATTCTTTCACTTAATTACATCTTCGAAGGCCCTTTTCCCAATGAAAGTCACCTTCACATCCACAGGTTCCCCAGGTTAGGATGTGAACATAGCTTTTCAGGGATCGCCTTTCAACTGACTAGAGAAGATAAGGCTCAAAAGATTAGAAACAGCTGGAGAGAGGATCAGTCAATTGAAAGCTGTGAAGAAATTACCCAGAATGCAGCGTAAGCAGATGGAAAACCTGAAAGCTAGAATTCTAGGAATTATCTGGTCTAGCTGAGTTCTAATAGGAGACAAGGAGGGAGAGACAAGATCACAAGAGGATTTTCCAGAAAGTGACAGGACAGAAATCATAAGCAGGATGAATAAAAAGGCGTCCGTGCCCTCAACACATCGTAGTGGAAGTGTGAAAGAGCCCCAGAACAGAAGAGATGGCCCGCACAGTGATGGCAGGCGGACAGCCGCGAGCACGCTGGAGGGTGTGGTGTGAGAAGGCAGCTCCAGTGCCGGAAGGAAGCGACCAGCAGTGGGGATTCCATTCCGTTTCCCAGAGACAGGACACCCTCAGGAACGGAAACTAAGCAAGGTCACCACCCGCAGACCTCCTCTGCGCTGCTTCAGGAAACAGGAAGCTCCCCCAGGAGGCAGCTCAGAGAGAAATGGACACGCGTGTAGGTAAAAACGTTTAAATGCCTAATTTGAGAGAGAAAAAAAATGAGAACTGAATTATTAAATATTATCAAAATGGGGCTGGGGTTTTGCATTTTACAGGAGGCTGGTGTTACCTTTAGGCTGTATTAAATACTTATCTTAACACTATTAGGGCGTTAGAGGGAGAATGAAACAGGAGAAAAACCCAAAATAAATGCAAAATAGCAGGATAAGAGGATAAATAAGAAGATAGACTCTCAAATGTGAGGCATTCAAACAAGCACACGTGGAATAAGCATGACAGCCTCAAGATCGGGCTTTTTAAAATACATCTCTATACTGATGAACAGACTTCAACTCCAGGGTATGTAAAAGTTGCCAGTAAAAGGACAGGACGAGAAATCCAGGTGTAATCTGGAACATTCCGCATGACGCAGCCCTAACCCGCAGGGCGCTGGGGCCATGGGAGGCGGTCCCGGCGCGCAGCAGCTCAGAAGCAGAGGGGACGTGGCTGCAGTTTATGCACAGGAGCGTTTCTCAGAATTGACCAAGCCCAGCCCCAAGGGAAGCCTCCGTTGCTCAAAACCGGGATCACACAGACCGTGTAGACAAAAGTTCAGTTAGGTTTGAAAATGCTAAGAAAACTGATGAGAGCGGCTTTGAAGTAATTCAGGAGTCGAGACAAATCGTGGGGCTGATCCCTTCCCCAACCCACCCTGCCTTCATTCCTGCTTCCCCGGGCTCTCACCTCCTGGACCCCTCATCCTTCACCGCCCCCCCCCCCCGGCTGGTTCTCTCTTCTGATCCCCCCCATGGGGCCCCGGTCATCTGGCAGACCACCCTCCTGGACTGGCACCGCCAGTCCCCTGGGCTGGTGGTCCTCAAACCCTGGTCATGACCCGGCACCTCTGGCTGAAGGCCCCATCATCCTCTCAGAGTGCTGCTGGGTCTACTGGCCATCGAGGGGCCCTCAGCTGACCTGTCGGATGACACCCCCACTTCGTACGCCCACTTCCACCTCCACCGCACTTGCGGCCGCTCTGCTGTGTCTGAAGAGCAGTGACCTGCACGTGCAGCCCTTGCTGCTGCGCCAACAGGGGCCACAGCGTCCTCAGCGGTGCCCACCAGTGCCAGCGTGCCCGATCTCCCCAGACTCACCCCTCTCCTCAGTCGCCAACTGCCCTCACCATCGTCCCCTCAACCTGTGACCTGACCTCCGTGTCCCCAAGAAAGCAGGAGTGGCCAGATGGGGACCTCTACCCTCACACTGGCTGGCCGGCCGCTTCCCTGGACAGTCCATCTCCCTCTGAGGCCACCGTCCTGGCCCAGGGATGCGCACGCTCTTGCCTGCTCCAAGCCATTCTGGTCAAGGAGAGAGGCTGCCCTCGGCCTACGGCCTGCTTCCCTTCCCACAGCACAGCTCCTCCCTCCCTTCTCGAACCCTCCTCCCCTCCTGCCCTCCTCTTCCCGCCCCGAGACCACTTCTGTCCGGCTCCACCCAGCCCTTCTTGGCACTAAACCCGGGTCACCTCTCCATCTGTTTTTCTAATAACAGTTTTATCGAGATTGAATCCACACACCATACAACTTGCCCACTTACCATGTAGAATTCAGTGTTTTTAGTCCTTTAATGGAATTCTCCAGCCGTCCCCACAGTCAGTTTTAGAACATTTTCATCACCCCCAAAAGAAAGCCCGCACCCAACCCGAAGCCCCTTACACGCCCACGACTCTGCCTCTGCCCCTTGCACGCCCACCACTCTGCCTCTGCCCCTTGCACGCCCACCACTCTGCCTCTGCCCCTTACACACCCACCACTCTGCCTCTGCCCCTTGCATGCCCACCACTCTGCCTCTGCCCCTTGCACGCCCACCACTCTGCCTCTGCTCCTTACACGCCCACCACTCTGCCTCTGCCCCCATGTCCCACAACCCCCTCTTTGCCCTGATTCTGGTGCGTTCTTTCTCCCTCTCTGGCCTCCCCTCCCCCAGGGCCCTTTCACTTCATCCCACTGACTCCCAAATTTCTCTCCCAGCTCACAGTGCTCCTCTGAGCTCCATCCTCTGTCTCCAGCATCTGCTTGACATTCCAAGCATCTTCTAAAATATCCAAAATCAACCCCTCCCCACCCCAAGCTGCCTCTCCTGAACATTGGCCCATCAGAAGTGATGGCAACTCAGGGTGGAAACCTTCCAAAACCCTAGGGAGCCCCCTCTCCTCCGTATCCTCGAGGAAACATCCAGAATACACCCGAGTGGCTGCTTGCCCTTGTCTCCCCCCAGCCTCCCTCTCACCGATTCTCTTCCCCACAGCGTGCACTGTGCAAACCTAGTATCAGAGAGAGGCCACCCTCGCTGTCCCCGAATATGAAGACTGTTTTGGGGGGCAGGCCCTTGGGAGCTCGTGCACAAAAACCAACCAGAGTCATCAGGAAAGCTCTGATAAAAGGCACAGAGCGGGGGGTGCCGATCCCTGAAGGTATGGAACTTACTATAAAAGCGTAGGAATTCAGACAGCGCCGGAGCCCAGCTGAGTCCCTCCAACTTCAGCAAGTGATAAAGATCACCAGGGCAGCCAGCTGGAGAAAAGAGCGCCCGTGTGTCATTATTTGCTCTCAGCCTCCAGGGCAAACTCCCAATGGATCAAAGCGTCGATGCAGAAGTAGAAGCCGTTTAGGGGGCCGGCCACCGCCGAGTGGTTAAGTTCGTGCGCTCCACTTCGGCAGCCCAGGGTTTCGCCGGTTCGGATCCTGGGTGCAGACATGGCACCGCTCATCAAGCCACGCTGAGGTGGTGTCGCACATGCCACAACTAGAAGGACCCACAACTGAAAATACACAACTATGTACCAGGGGACTTTGGGGAGAAAAAGGGAAAATAAAATCTTAAAATAAAAGCCTGAACTCAGACCAGAACTGAAGTGGGAGATCAATTACACTACGAGAAGACGCGCAAAGCTGGGAAGCCCACAGCTGCTCCACCCAAAGGACCATCAGGCAGAGCCGGAGATAAAAGGACAGATGGGAGGTCCACGTGGGGCTGATCTGTGACCTCACAGATAAAGGGCTCCTGCTCTTGGCAGCGAGAGAAAGATCAGTGACCCGAGAAAAGTGTGCAGGGGATGGAGGTGTCCTCCCAGGAAGGGACAGCCAGAGGTTCCAGCCCAAGGGACCGAGACCATCTTCTCCAGGAAAGTCATTAGGTTCTTACATGAAAGGGCCTCTGAGCTAGTGCTCCACAGCACCGAGGGCTGCAGGGACGGCAAGGCGCCCATGTGCGGGGGTCTGCGTGAGGCAAGAACTGGGGGGGGGTCCCCGGAGTGCTGGGTGCACGGAGTGTTCTGTGCTTTCTGATGTCTACATTATGAGAATATATTACTGGCTCAAAAAACGTAATACATCTACATATAAACTAGACTGTAGAACCCACTTCTGCAAAGAGACTGTCAGAGCATGTGCAAAGGCACGAAGACTGCCCGTAACTGGGAACAGGATTGGCCATGGCCATGACCAGCTGGCGGCAGTGAGATGCTGTCTCAGGTCCAGTGGGCCAGCAGGTTACACAGCATGCAGCCCCAGCAGTAGCAAAGGCAGGGGCAGAAACTCCCACCGGGTCCTGTAGGGGGGCATAGGCAGACCCCGGAGCTCGGGGCTCCTCCCAGTGGGAACCCCAGCGACCAGCAGGGAAAATGGAGCTTCCGGAGAGCAGCAGTTGCACAGGCGAGACCTCGAGCTGTGTTGCACTTGGGGGAAACTGAGGTGCAGGAGAAGACATCTTGATGGACAGTTTCAAGTGTGCAAACCACGCGCAGTGTTTAGAAGTTAGGGGTCTTTCTCTGGGGTCTGAAGCTGGACACTTAGTGTATTGATTAGAGTTTTAAACATCAGATAACCTGTTTGAAGAACATGGAAGGGAAGTTGGGCTGTGGCAGTGTGGACAGAGGGTAGTGGATGGCGAATGACAGGAGCAAGGAAGCCTTTCCTGGTTGGGCTCTGAGCCGCCCAGGGTCACTGGAGCCGGGGGGAGCCTGCCCAGGTCGGAGTGGCGGGGACTCTGGCCAGCTCCGCCTCCCTGGGAAGGGAGGAGGATAAAGTGCAGGTTTACCGTGGTCGAGGCGGCGAGGTTAAGTCAGGCGGAGGCTGGTAGGTTTGCCCTCCAGCGGCTGTCCGGGAAGGATGGCGGGAGGGGAGAGCAGGGTTTAACTGTGGGGAGGAGCGGGGACGACGTGCCCACCAAGCGCGCCGCGGAGTCTTACGGCCGTGTGGGCAGGGAGCGCGCGAAGCCGGCGCCTGGCTGGGAAAGAGATGTGGGGCCGCAGGGGCGTGGGGTCCCCAGGCTGACCTGCGCCGGGTTCTGGTCCGCAGGAAGCCGCTGAGGAACGGCCTGGTGAAGGACAAGCGCTTCTGAGCCCCTCGGCCCCCGCCCCGCCCCGCCCCCTGGCACCGGCCACGCCTCTTCCCGAGGGACCCCTGCCCCGCACCCCCGAGACCTCGCCCCCTGGGGTGGTCCCGTCCGGCTTCAGGGCCACGGCCACGCCCCCGGGGCCCTGACCCCGCCCAACCCCAGACCCCGCCCCGGCTCCTCCTGGGGCCCCGGCCCCGCCCCCAGCCCGCAAGTCTAGGGGCCCAGCGGCCCCTGAGAACTCGTCTGGTCGCCGCCTGCGAAGAAGATGCCACCGCCGCGCCGCGGTCCCGGCCGCCGCGTCCTTTTCCTCCTCCTGGCCCTGCTGCTGCCCTCGCCACCCCCGGCCCGCGCGCCCGCGCCCCCGGGCCCCGCCGCCGCCCTGCTCCAGGCTCTCGGGCTGCGTGACGCACCCCGGGACGCCCCCACTCCCCGGCCCGTACCCCCCGTCATGTGGCACCTGTTCCGCCGCCGGGACCCCCAGGAGTCAAGGACGAACCTGCGGCGGACGCCCCCAGGGGCCACCCTGCGACCGTGCCACCTGGAGGAGCTGGGGGTCGCCGGGAACATTGTGCGCCACGTTCTGGACCGCGGTGAGTGGGGCCCGCGCTGGGGTTGTGGGTCCTGGAGGCTGAGACCCCGCTGGGCGTCCCGGGCCCGCCACGAGCCTCGAGCGCCAGGTCGGGGAGGCCAGAGAGACTCCCACTGTGCCCACCCCACGAGCAACCTGGGCATCCGCACTCCTTCCACTGCTCCCCGTGGGCACTTGCGTGGCCCGGGAAAGCGGTCCTAAGGCCAGGCTCCTTCGCACCAGGCAAGGCCCTTGCTTGCAGCTGGAGCCCTGCCCCCACTCCCTCACTTCACACCATTTGATGCCTTCCTGCAGATGCCACCCCGCCCCGGCATCGCTTCCCCGCGGGCCCCAGGCGTTCGCTCATCTCGCCCGGCTGCCTGTGTTCCCAACCGGGGGTAGGCCGATCTGCGCGGGGCAGGGCCTCTTCTTTGCAAGCGATGCCCTGCCCCCACCCCATCTCCCCGACCCCCGCAGCTTCACACCATTTGACGCCGCCTAACAGATGGCGCGCCCCCCGCCCCGCCCCAGGCGCTCACCTTCCCCTGGTCCCCAACTGAGACCCCTCGCGGGCAGGTCGGGTACCGTGCGAGGACAGCGCGAGCCCACCCCTCTCCCTGCCTCCCCAGGTGCGCCCGCCCGGCCCCCGGAGCCCGCTTCGGCCGCGGGGCACTGCCCCGAGTGGACCGTCGTCTTCGACCTGTCGGCCGTGGAACCCGCCGAGCGCCCGAGCCGGGCCCGCCTGGAGCTGCGCTTTGCGGCGGCGGAGGCGACGGCGGGCGGCTGGGAGCTGAGCGTGGCGCGGGCGGCCGAGGGCGCTGGCCCCGGGCCGGTGCTGCTCCGCCAGGCGGTGCTCGCCCTGGGAACGCCGGTGCGCGCCGAGCTGCTGGGCGCCGCCTGGGCCCGCAACGCCTCGGCTCCGCGCAGCCTCCGCCTGTCGCTGGCGCTCCGCCCCCGGGTCCCGCCGCCTGCGCGCGCCTGCCGAGGCCTCGCTGCTGCTGGCGACCCTCGACCCGCGCCTGTGCACCCCCTGGCCCGACCGCGGCGCGAGGCCGAGCCCGCGGTGGGCGGGGCGCCGGGGGCGCGTGTCGCGCGCGGCGGCTCTACGTGAGCTTCCGCGAGGTGGGCTGGCACCGCTGGGTCATCGCGCCGCGCGCTTCCTGGCCAACTACTGCCAGGGCCAGTGCGCGCTGCCCGCCGCGCTGTCGGGACCCGGCGGGCCGCCCGCGCTCAACCACGCCGTGCTGCGCGCGCTCATGCACGCGGCCGCCCCCGGCGCCGCCGGCCTGCCCTGCTGCGTGCCCGCGCGCCTGTCGCCCATCTCCGTGCTCTTCTTCGACAACAGCGACAACGTGGTCCTGCGGCACTATGAGGACATGGTGGTGGACGAATGTGGCTGCCGCTGACAAGAACGGGCGGGGACGGGGCTCAACAATAAACACGGCGTGGTCCGCTCAGCCTCCAGCCTCTGTCCTCGTCCTGTCCCTCGGGGTCGGCACGTCCACGGCCGTGAACGATCAGTGTGAGAGGGAGTCCTACAGAGGGCCGGGTTCCTGGAGTCCCGTCTCCGTACGCCCACCCTGTGAGGGGCCAGGTACCCCGGTCCCGCTGCACAGACCCCGCCGGTCTCAGCTTTGCCAGGGGTGACCCACAGTACTGCCCCCAACCAGCCAGGCCCCCAGACCAAGCGCTCTGCCACCTCCCTGCACTTTATCGAGCCCCGATGTGAAGGCTAGAGCTGTTTGTTAAGATTTTATTGGTGACAAAAGAGCTTCAAACAAACTGACCAAAAATCAAGAGTTACATTGCACGTGGTACAGATGTGCCTCGACTTGGAAAACTCAGAGGAACTGCCGCTGGAAGGCAGAGGATGAAGCAAACAGCACGAAGGGGAGGCAAAGCATTCCAAGGAGGGAACAGGGCAGGCCGGGTGTCACACAACGGGTCACAGCGGAAACCTACCCAAGCTCTGCGCCTCTATGCGGCCCACCCAAGGCAGGGGACCCGGCAGCCCCACAGCAGTGGTCATAAATAAGAGGCCCGCCAGAGGAAGGTGGCCTGTGTCCCCATCTCCGGTGAACAAGCTGCAATCTAAAGGCTCTGGGATGAGGGCCAGCACAGCCAGACGGGAGGGGGAAGCTGGGGGGTGAGGGTCACCAGGGCCTTGGTAGGCAGGGGATGGTCCTCAAACAGCTGGCCACCAGGGAGACTAACACCCCTCTGCAGTGTGTGAGGAGCTAGGGGTGGTCCTCTCAGCCGCCACCCAGACTCAGGCCCCCCACCGGCTCGTGGGACTAACTCCGCAAAGCCCCTTCAGCGCAGCCCGACTTATTTCTGAAACATACTCCTTTTCCCCAACGCAGAACCCGCCCCACTCGGTGAAGCTGTGCCCGCAGGCAGAGGGGCTGCAAACTCGAAAGGTGGGGTGGAGACAAGGGGGGCAGGTGCTCTGCGTGTCTAACCGGCCACAGGGATGTGGGCGCCTCCCTGGGGATGGGTCCTCTTGGCCGCTGTCCTCTGCCAAATCCTCAGGCAGGACTCCGGGGAAGCAGCCTGGCCGCCCCTGGCCTCGCGGCCGGCCTGCGGGGCCTCCCGCGGGCGGAGTCCACCGCGCAAGCGAAGCGCTTTGCTTCTCAGAGTCCAGCGGGGACGTGGCGCCGCCGGCCCGGGATGGTGCTCCCTCACTGCCTGACGCATGGGAAGAAGCTGCTGGAAGCTAAAACTGAAAACAAAAATCCTCCTCTCCATGGAGTCACAGGTGTTGATCCTAATCACGAGTTGTGTCGGCTCGTTTAAACTTCGTTTCTGGAAGGTTCTTGCATCTCCCAGGTCCACCACTAAGATTTGAGAGACAAACTCAGGAAAGTATATTTTTCAGTACTTCTTTGAAAGAATCTTTAAAAAACAAACAGAAAAACCCAAAACACCGTATTCTCCTTAAATGAAAACCTTAGAACACAGGCAGCGTGGCCTCAGCGGTCTGTTCGGGAGCCGGCCGGTGTGGACAGGACCCGCACCTCCTCAGGCCCTCCCGGCCGGGCTGCCGCCTGCAAGGAGCCTGCTCGGCACAGAAATGCAAAAGTGTTTCCTGCTAAAACGTAGTCCCCTTTCAATAAAAGAGAAAAAGAAAACAACAGAGGAAAGGGCTACTCTGAGACGAGGGTCCTCCTCCGCCGCCCCGGTCGCAGGCCCAGGTGTGGACGGCGAGCGCCGGCCTCCTCGGCGAGCGGGCTGGCAGGGCTCGGCGGGCTCCGCGGCCGGCCGGCCGCTCCCTCTCCTTCTCCTCGCCGCCGCCGCCGCGTGCCAGCAGTGGGCGCTCGCTCCGCCTCGGGCTCTCTCCCTCGGGCTCCTCTCCCTCTCCTGTCGCTCACAGTTGTGCTTCAGTTTTAGCAGTGGAAAACAGGTATCCATTTATTTTTATTTTTTATTACCCAGGATAAGATGCTGATGGACTAAGCCACAGAGCTTAGCTCTTCTGCCGCCACCTGTGGGGAAGGAGGAGGAGAGCACGAGGCTGTGAGAGACGGCAGGGGCCCAGCTCCGGTTGGCGCGGGGCTTTCTCCGCACCTGTGTTCTCACCTGTGACACGGGACTTCAGAGGCTGGCCGGGTGGCCAGACCAGTGACTTCCCACCCAAAGAGAGAAGGAAGCTGAGAGCTAAGGCGACTGAGCCTGCACTGTAGCAACAGCACCCCACTTTCCCACGCACCAGCGGGGGGCCCAAAGCCCACACTTGCCCTGCTCTGGTCAGGTGGGACAGGGAACCATGCACAGGGCCCTTGCAGGCACCCAGAAGCACCTCCTCCACAGGTGCCCATGCATCTGGGGCTGGGACCCAGCACCCATCAGAGAGGAGTGGGTGGTCCTCCTTATCGCCCACCTGGGTGGCAGCTGCAAGCCCACATCCACTTTCCCAGGGAGCTCTAGGACTCTCTCAGGAGAGGACTGTGACACAGGGAGGTATGCATGAAGCTCATGCCCCCCCGCCACCGTGAGCAGAGGCACAGGGACCCGAAGTGACAGGTCACAGGATGAGCTGGCCCCTCAGGGACTTGGATCCCAATCCCCTATTTCCCAAATTTCCCCACAAGTCCAGATTCCCAGTGAAGACCTCCTCCAGGGGTTAGCTTGCCTTCTAGTACTGGGACAGCCCCGTCACTCCACCGTGCTGGTACGCCCGCTCCCCCTGGTACGTGGAGTCTTGTGACAGCGCCACATCGATCTGTGACTTAAACTCATCACCAAGGTAACTGTCCTGAAAGACAAGGTTGAGGAGCTGAGCACCCAGCCAGAGGATGCACGCACTTGCTCCCAGGCTTGAGAATCTACTCCTCATCCAGTCCCTCAGAAAAATCTAGAAAACCATGTCCTCAAGTGCCAGGAGACCCACACTGGTTACCTCACTGTAGGAGACAGGTAACTCAGACCAGCTGCCTAGGACTCTTCTGAAGGGCAGTGCTGGGGATGGAATGTTTCAGACCTATGGTTCCACTGCTAAGGGCACGCCTAAGTAGGAGACCATCCTCCTCCTGAGTCTTCAGGGTGAGTATCGTGAGGTCCGTGTGTGGGGAGAGGGCTCCCTGGGCTGGTCTGACTTCTCGCAGGTGTGAGGTGTGCCCAGGTCAGGTGCTGGCTGGCTGCTCACCTGGGACAGCTCGGGCTGCGAGAGGCCGGGCTGGCTCATCTGGGAGGGCTGGCTCATGGAGATGTAGCCCTGGGTCAGTGCCCCCTGTGAGAAGGGCTGCGATGCCACATCCTGGCTGGCCTGGCTGTTGGGGAGAGTCGTCTGGCTGGGTCCAGGGAGCCCAAAGCGGTTCTTCTGGCGCCCCCCACGGCCAGTCTTGCCTTTCGGGGTGCCCCGGCCTGAAAAAGAACAGTCCAGGGCTCCCTGGAGGAGGTTCTGACGCCCACAGCAAGCACGCCCGCTCAAAGCCCAGATATGAGCAAACTCTGACGCCAGCATGCGTTTCCACGCGATGCTGCTGGGCACTCACCTGCGGCTGGCCCGTTAGCTTGTCCGAAATACCCCGGGGGTGGCATGGGTGGCATGACCAGGTTGAAAGGGATGGGAATGTTCATGGCGGCCACATGGCTGGGGCCGGCACTGATCATGCCAATCTGGTCGTGGGTCTGGAAGTACATGTTTGAGGGCCGGCCTGCAAGACATGAGGGGGACAGCAGGCGTCAGCAGCCCCGTCCAAACGAGCCTGCCACCTGCCCCCAGCCAGCTGGGCTGCCGCGCCCTGCACTGCCTGCCTGCCCAGCGCTCCCTGGTGCCCCCAGAGCAGAGCTGCCTGGAGCCGACTCGCACCACTCAGCCGCCTCTCTCAAAGGCCTCCGCGGGCTGGCGCCAGGCAGGCATCTTTGCTCCCAGGGGATTCTGAGAACCACTGGCCTTACAGGAATATGAAAAATCAAAAGCAACACTGCCTTTCCAATTAAAAAAAAGTCCTTTTTATGGCAAGGTTTATATTCACATGGCACAGCCTCCCCTTCCTGCCATGTCAAAAGCAAGAAAACGCCTAAGCTCGAAAGTGCAGCGGGTCCTGCTGCAGGCAAGGCCCCCGGGGCGCCCCTGGGTCTAGGGACCTTCCCAACCTGCACAGAGCTGCCTGGGCACTGGCAGGCCAAAGGGAGCCGGAGCACAAGAGCGGGATCTTCCGGGCTGGCCCACAGGGGACTCGGGGATCAAGGAGGGACCCAAGACACCCCCAGCTACACAACATGGTGACTCGCTGGATGCAGCAGCAATTTAATGATGATTTGTCATCATTATAGAACGTAATCCACAGTCTGAGCCCAACAACCAGGAGAATACTGGGACAACGAAAGGGGGCTTTTGCAAAGCGAACGGGAGAGAGCAGCAGCTGGAGTGCACCAGCCCTCAGGGAGGACAGCCAGCACACAAGGGGACGAACCCCAAGGTAAAACATGGGCAGGGGGCACCAAGCACCTGGGCAATACAGTCCCCCTCTGTGGAGGCTGGCACAGGCAGGAGGCGGCGTGCCAGGCTCAGCCGTAGGACAGAGACCCCACACGGGAAACGAGGAACATGCACCTAACCCTGAGGTCTCACAGAGGAAGCAGAAGCTTCAGGAAGGCAGCAAAACCCAAAAGGAGGCTGCAGGCTCCCTGAAGGAGCTGCATCGTGACCTTCCTTGAGAAGGTAAGCCAAGGGCAGGGGCAGGGCGCACAGGCCCGGGGGCCCTGGGACCAACGGCCGGAGCTGCAGGATCTGCTGAGACACCGCCATACGCAGAGCTGTGTGAGTCAAAACCTGCCAGAGACCAATTCTTCGATTTCAGACGAGGGAAGCTGAGAAGGACTCTGTCAGGCGGGTTTGTGGACTGTGCGTGGGAGGCCACCCGAGGAGTGACAGGGCCGGAAGCTGCAGGCGTGGGAACGGTCAACACCCAACAGGGCCCGCCGGCCCCCGCAGAGCGGACTCACCCTGGCTGCTCCGG